GATCTTGCCCCGATCACCCCTATATGGATGGGCCATGAGTCAATATTTACCATATGGTGGATTTAAATGGAGTGAGGAAAATAATATTGAATTCTTCTTGAATATTTCTGATGAGAATAAAATAGGATATATATTAGAAGTTGATCTGGTATATCCAAAAAAATTACATGATTATCATTCTGATCTACCTTTAGCTCCAGAGAATAGAATACCAGATGGATCAAACCAATCTAAATTATTAACCACATTATATGATAAAAAAAAAAGTATGTGCTTTATTATAGAAATCTTAAACAATATTTAAAAATGGAGATGAAACTCAAAAAGATACATATAGTGTTAGAATTCAAGCAATCAGATTGGTTAAAGAAATACATACATCTGAATACAGAAATGAGAACTAAAGCAACTAATGATTTTGAAAAGGACTTTTTTAAACTAATGAACAACTCTGTGTTTGGAAAGACAATGGAAAATATAAAAAATCGTGTTGATATAAGATTATGTTGTGACCCCAAAAAAGTAGAAAAATTAATCGCAAAGCCTAACTTTAAACATCGAACCATATTTACTGAAAACCTATATGCTATTCACATGTATAAGAAAAAAATAGTCTTTAATAAACCCATCTATGTGGGAATGAGTACATTAGATCTTTCGAAGCATTAGATGTATGATTTTCTTTATAATGTGATGAAACCTAAATATGAAGATAACATAAAATTGTTATATCAGGATACGGACAGTTATATATATGATATAAAAACAGATGATATTTATCAGGATATGAAGGGAATGAGTGATTACTTTGATACATCCGATTATCCTGAGAATAATCAATATGGTATACCAAGAGTTAATAAGAAGGTGTTAGGTAAAATGAAGGATGAAAATAATGGAAAAATAATGAGAGAATTTGTTGGTTTAAGAGCAAAAATGTATGCTTTAAAAGTAGAAGATCAGGTTACAAAAAAATCAAAAAGAGTAAAGAAATGTGTTGTTAAAAATAGGATATCATTTGATGATTATAAAAACTGTTTATTTAATAAAACAGAACATTCAAGAACAATGAATCTAATTAGAAGCAAGAAACATGAACTCTATTCAATATAAGTTAACAAGAAGGTTTTATCACCACATGATGATAAGAGATATATATTAGAGGATGGAATTAACACATTAGCATTAGGTCATTATAAATTAAAAAAAAATTGTCTTATATAAATGGACTCTAGAATAAAGAGGGCTATCAATTGGGATAATTTTTCAAAACGAGAGAATTTATCAGAAGATTTAATAAGAGAATTTAAAGATGAAGTTAACTGGGATTTGATTTCTATATATCAAAAATAATCAGAACGTTTTATAATAGAATTTAAAGATAGAGTTAATTGGGATTCAATATCTTTTAATCAAAAATTGTCTGAATTTTTTATTATTGAATTTAAGGATAGAGTTAACTGGAAAAAAATATCAGAAAATCAAATTCTCTCCGAAAATTTTATAAGACAACATGATGATAAGGTTAATTGGAAACTCATNGAATGAAATTAAGAACCTCTGAAGTATGAAAAGAACTTTAAATTACCGAAAAATTCGGCAAATTGACGATGCGATATAAAATATGATTTTAAATCGTAAACTTTTCGTGAAAAACACGATAATAATCTAAGGAAAAAATAAGTTTAACAAAGTAAATAGCCAATCGAATCTATTTTATTCTGAAGCGCATTACATGATATTAAAGAGAAATTTATTGTCTATTTGAATGCGCATCGTTTGTCTTGATTTCTGTGTTTTAAATATTCCGTTTTAAATCATCGACTGCTTCTGCTTTTTTTTTTCTTCTTATTTCAAGAATTATTCAACTGAATCGGGTAATGTGTTCTGCTTCTTACCACAAACTGACATTTCATTTTAGGTTGTACTCTAATTTCTTTTTATGTATCATTCAGTCAAACGATACTTTTATTCGACCTAAATGTCTTAATAGATGTCCTATCGTGTTGGTTTTTCGTTTATCTATAGTGTTAAGAATGAATTTGATTTCTCTTGCTCTCTTCTAAACCTGGTCAATGGACAATTATTTAGTCCAAAATTCTTTCCACATTCTCTTCCAGCACATTGTAAAAGCGTTCAGTTTTGTCTTATTTTTTCCCCTCTTTTAACGAAAAATTTTATATAATTTTTACCTCGAATATTTCAAAAACATAGATTTTCCGAACCAAACAAGGTTAGTTCGCAAACGTTTAAAGAGATTTTTTTTCACATTTACATTGATGTTCCTCATATTAGCATTTCCTTGCCTTTCTATAACGCAAGCTTTAACTGTGTAATTCCCGACTTCAGACGTCTTTTAAATCCTGTTAGATGTTCGTCCAAACTGTTTAATTGTCTATTCTTTAGTGTTATTTTAGTATACCGTTCGATTTGCTTTTAAACAAATCATTATTTTCTGGTTGCGTTTGGCCTTTATTGCACCACTAAGATTTCTCAAAGCCTTTTCTAGCTATTTTCGTTTTCTGTTTGCAACCAGAGCTATGAAAATGTATTTTGTTGACGATTTTACCGTTTATCCTTATAACATTAATGTTGGTTACTCTATATTCTTTTATACGTTTTATATGAATGCCGAATAAACTAGGTGGTAATTTACAGTTTCTTTTTCTAATTGTATCTGCTTTCACTCGACTTGAAAGTGCGTGATATTATATAATTATACATAACATAATTAAAAAAATTACAGTAATTTCTGTAAGAGCAGTATACTAATATATTCGTTAGTAGGAGAAATTTTTACGTTAAATTATACGATTCTACTTCTTTATTCTGCATAAGGTGTTGTATTTCCTGCGAAGTCGAAGATTAAAGATAAAATCTTATTAATGGTATATTTCAGACTCTTCTCGTAGGTGTAATTTGGTACATTGATTTTTCGACTAGAACACTCGTGTGACATTAATAAGCAAATAATTGAAAAGTGTTTCTGTAACAGTGATGCTAATGTGTTGATTTGTGAAATCTCTCTGCTAAATTCTGCCAAGGAGCGTAAAAGTTGCAAAACGCACAGTTTGTACCAATTTGTTAGCAACATAGATCGCCGTTGATATTAAAACAAAATTCTAAAATAGATATTACAACTGTTCTGATATTGCGAAAATAGATTTTCTAGTATTATTATTTTCTAGATTTTAGATTTCCTAGATAATAGATTTTCTAGATTTTCTAGTTATTATTGACTATATTGCGATAATAGATTTTCTAGATTTTCTAGTTATTATTGACTATATTGCGATAATAGATTTTCTAGTATTAACGACAATATAATCAACGACAGCCAGAGATGTATTGACATCTCTGGCTGTTGTTGATTATATTGTCGTTAATACTAGAAAATCTATTTTCGCAATATCAGAACAGTTGTAATATCTATTTTAGAATTTTGTTTTAATATCAACGGCGATCTATGTTGCTAACAAATTGGTACAAACTGTGCGTTTTGCAACTTTTACGCTCCTTGGCAGAATTTAGCAGAGAGATTTCACAAATCAACACATTAGCATCACTGTTACAGAAACACTTTTCAATTATTTGCTTATTAATGTCACACGAGTGTTCTAGTCGAAAAATCAATGTACCAAATTACACCTACGAGAAGAGTCTGAAATATACCATTAATAAGATTTTATCTTTAATCTTCGACTTCGCAGGAAATACAACACCTTATGCAGAATAAAGAAGTAGAATCGTATAATTTAACGTAAAAATTTCTCCTACTAACGAATATATTAGTATACTGCTCTTACAGAAATTACTGTAATTTTTTTAATTATGTTATGTATAATTATATAATATCACGCACTTTCAAGTCGAGTGAAAGCAGATACAATTAGAAAAAGAAACTGTAAATTACCACCTAGTTTATTCGGCATTCATATAAAACGTATAAAAGAATATAGAGTAACCAACATTAATGTTATAAGGATAAACGGTAAAATCGTCAACAAAATACATTTTCATAGCTCTGGTTGCAAACAGAAAACGAAAATAGCTAGAAAAGGCTTTGAGAAATCTTAGTGGTGCAATAAAGGCCAAACGCAACCAGAAAATAATGATTTGTTTAAAAGCAAATCGAACGGTATACTAAAATAACACTAAAGAATAGACAATTAAACAGTTTGGACGAACATCTAACAGGATTTAAAAGACGTCTGAAGTCGGGAATTACACAGTTAAAGCTTGCGTTATAGAAAGGCAAGGAAATGCTAATATGAGGAACATCAATGTAAATGTGAAAAAAAATCTCTTTAAACGTTTGCGAACTAACCTTGTTTGGTTCGGAAAATCTATGTTTTTGAAATATTCGAGGTAAAAATTATATAAAATTTTTCGTTAAAAGAGGGGAAAAAATAAGACAAAACTGAACGCTTTTACAATGTGCTGGAAGAGAATGTGGAAAGAATTTTGGACTAAATAATTGTCCATTGACCAGGTTTAGAAGAGAGCAAGAGAAATCAAATTCATTCTTAACACTATAGATAAACGAAAAACCAACACGATAGGACATCTATTAAGACATTTAGGTCGAATAAAAGTATCGTTTGACTGAATGATACATAAAAAGAAATTAGAGTACAACCTAAAATGAAATGTCAGTTTGTGGTAAGAAGCAGAACACATTACCCGATTCAGTTGAATAATTCTTGAAATAAGAAGAAAAAAAAAAGCAGAAGCAGTCGATGATTTAAAACGGAATATTTAAAACACAGAAATCAAGACAAACGATGCGCATTCAAATAGACAATAAATTTCTCTTTAATATCATGTAATGCGCTTCAGAATAAAATAGATTCGATTGGCTATTTACTTTGTTAAACTTATTTTTTCCTTAGATTATTATCGTGTTTTTCACGAAAAGTTTACGATTTAAAATCATATTTTATATCGCATCGTCAATTTGCCGAATTTTTCGGTAATTTAAAGTTCTTTTCATACTTCAGAGGTTCTTAATTTCATTCAATCAGTTTTATAAAAATATACTTACAACGATATCAATTGTCCGTTACTGTATTTAATACGTTCATCTTTTATTTTGCAATATTCGACGTTAAAGTCTACCGCCGTTTCTAATACTGAAAAATAAAATAAAGAACGTAATTAAACATTTAAACAATTACATAAATTAATTTTTCAAAGTAACGGTTTAATTTATCGCTTGTCTCATTTTCAATTTATCAGAAAAAATAAGGTTCAAATGTATTTCTTGTAAAATTAAATTTAAATAAGAGGAAAAAGTATTTTAAGTAAGAAAAGTCGATCTACTAATATGATTCCTCCCTGCAGTGGAAGGATTTTTAGTTGGAACTTTTTTAAACACATCTGAAACATTCTTTACAAAATATTAACAGAATCTGCCATTGATGGAAACTCCACGCATTACGGTTACTATTTGCTTATAAAACATAGCATAAAAATAGTGTTTTTTTCTATATTATACAATTAATTTTTGTATTGGTAATTCGAACTATTTATGGGAAAGTGTTTACAGATTACTGAGTGGTAATTTTAAAAATTGTTTATACTAGATTACATATTTATATCGACGTTAAAATACATACTGTATATAAGTACTGTATTAATTTTACAAAGTTATTATTCTTTATTAGAGTGATTTTGCGTTGTTTCGGCTCTGTATAATAGAATGAATTAAGTTCCTACGTACACTTGATTAAAACGTATTCGGATTTACAAGAGAATTTCATATAATTACAAAATATCAAACGACTTACTCCAATTTCCAACGTGTTTTAAGTCTTTATTACTACATGTACTCGGAATGCACGCATCCAAACGTATTCTCATTTTTGTATCGGCTAACTCTGTTTTCAATATGTCTTCAAACTTCGCTGGTTTCTAAAAAATTCATTAATTCGTTGTCTAAATAAATTTAACTGACAAATTACACTAAACTGTATTAATCCGTCGCAAATTTTTTCTTTAAACTTTAATACTTACAATAATCTCTTTTGCTAGTTTAATCAATGAATTATTTTCCAACTTATGAATCGACTTTGCTATACGTTTCAGTGATTCTGGCATTCCAATTGTCAGGGCACAGTATTTGCCTCGAACCTGTTTCTTTCCTTCATCGGTAATCTCTTTTTTATTTTGAGGAATTTCTATGTCCAAACACTGGTCATAATCTCCCGATATCCATAGTGTTACTCCTAACATTCCTGCCGGTAATTTTCCAAAAGAATCAATCACTGGAAATAGTAAATGCATACAATTAATTAAAGTTATCTTTATGTATATCATGTTTTGAAAAAAACAAATCGAAAAAGAAAAAAATTATATTTTTCCGTGGAGATTCACCGTACAGAAAACCTTCGATACATGCGGTTAATCTCTGCCCGAAAAATAGCGCATACGTGAAATCGCAAATATGAATGCTAAAAATCAACCGGAAATAAATGAATTTTCAAAGTGTCTGAAACTGTAATTTGTACGTTTAAATTCGACTGGAAAGAACGGAAATTTGACCGGAAAAAGAGACAATGATGACTACCAAAAATTTAAGACAAAGTACATGGTTAATGACGTTAAAGATCGACAAGCTGTGTTTCAAATAACAACTGCAAGAAACTTCATAACTTTTTCGGTCGTTATGACATTTTATTCTAAAAGCGTTTAATTTTGTTAATTATTATAAAATAGCAAAACGCTTGAATTTGAGGAAAGTGATAAATTTCATAAAAGATTTTAAATGCTAATAACGAGTTAAATTATTACGTCCGATCCATCTCAATGTATGAGACGTGACCGCCTATCTGCCAGTATCTACCGTTAGCAATCAGCAACTTTTGTATTATCAATCTCATATAATTTTTTATTTAGTGTCATAATGCCAAATTTTGTTATTTAGCCTTTACCGTTTTCTAAGATATTAAACGAAATATACATCAACACACGCACATATTTTTGGATTTGGTGGGTCTCAAGACGCCCCCCGGGTAGGGAACCGAGCCTGGACGTGGCGGGGGGCCAGGCGGTCAGTATCAACCATTAGCAATAACGAACTTTTGTTTTATCAATCTCATATAATTTTTAATTTAGTGTTATAATGCCAAATTTCGTTACTTAGCCTTTACCGCATTCTACGATATTTAACGAAATACAGTCCGTAAAGAAAATTATAAACTGAAGTAAAATTTTTCTGTTTTAATTTCTTTTCATCCACAGTCAATTGTTGCTATGTGAGACTAATCGGGGGTAGGATGTTTACGAGTTCTTGACTCTCCTACTGCTTAATTGACTCGAGACCTTGAGGTCCGGTTCCGCTTGTCTAAAGGATTAAGGAGTTAGGGGATAGGATCGTTACATCCTATCTCCCGTCAGGATCTGATACCAATCTATCAATTATTTAGCGGATAGATACGCGTTTAATTGAGGTCAAATTATCAGGAAAGATCTTGTCGAGGACTTCGGGTTTAGTATGGTGGTGATAATGCCGGAAGTAACACATACCAATCCAGGTTCACTAACACTATACCCGTTTATTGTTGAACATTTTTACATACGTCTACACACGCACTCATTCATACATGTTTTTGAGTTCGGCAAGTCTCAAGACGTGAAGATTTGAAAAACAACACGGAAGATGAAATTTGACAGGATTTCAAAAGTTTTCCTTATTTTGTACACATAACGACCGATATAGTACAACAACAAACTAGAAAATTTTATAAACGTCGTAAAATATTTATTTAGCGTGACCCTCATTGTCGCTGTTTCTACAGTTTTCAGTAAAAGTTAGAATTAAAACAAACTACACTATATGTGAATATAAACATACTAAATAAGATTTCTGCGCAGAAACACTAAGTTTCACATTCACTCGTAACCAACGTTGAAAATGAGTAAACAGAGGTTATAATTGCCGTGTCGAAATGATAACGTTTAACCTACCTGCAAACGATGCGCATTAACCGAATCGGCATTGATCGAAACCGCATATATCGAGGGTCAAGGTTATTGTCAAACGTAAGGTTATTAAACGAGGGTAAGATTATTAAATCAAACGGTTCGATAAAATTAGTGTAGTAAGTGTATGAAATACCTAAATAATGTGGGTTTGTTCAGAATGTATACGGCGCAAAAATTATTAATGTGAAGTCCCAAAAAACGGGGTTTAATTAAACATTTATAGTAGAAATTTATTAAACAAAACTAGAGAAAGAAAAGAACCTTCATTGATAAAAACCGATCAAAGATACAATTCAGTTGTTACATGATACCGAGACGAGGGAAAAAATACTATTAATGTAAGACGTGACGAAATAAATGTAAACGGGTGTCCTCCAGTAGAAAGGGAACTTTATCATTTCGCTCGTATACAAACAATTAGAACATAAAAAGTTTTGGACAAGGGAAAAGGTTAATAAAAAAGCTAAACATCAGTTCAAATCGTTAGAATTTCGAAACGTAATAGACTAGATAACGATGTAGTAAAATGAGCGCAAGTTCAAAGTCCCATCTACCCCTTTCATCCAAAGTTAACGGATAGTGTCGGGTAAATTCTCCCATGCGAATCTTCTCGGGACCCGAACAGGTCTAGCATTTCGCTTAGGGACAAACGTGGAGCCAATCAAGATACACAAAAAGGGGAGAACGGAAATCGATGTAATCTCCGATCTTCAAAGATACGAGGCACTCGGCAAGACGAACTCTGCGAGTCAACACAAAGGAGTGAAAATCGGAAGGCTGTGTCAACACACTGGGGACGAATCTTTCCTATTGTAAATCTAATTTTATGCTAAAATAAACGGATTTTTGTAAGATACTTGTCATCTCTGTCTCCTTCTCCACACCCACACGCGAACAACCCTATATTATTCCGACGCAGGATTAACCATCCTGCGTCAGAATAATCTAGTCGTTCGCGAAAAGTCAGAAAACTTACATTGGTGAGAGAAGTAGAATTTTAAGTCCCCAATCTCCGTCAACTCAGTGAACTCACATTAAGAGTTAATAAAAAATTAGACATAATCATTTCATTTTAAAGCTATATAAACGAGGGCCACTATATATTAAAGTAATTAATTTCTATACAACGAAGAAATGAATTGCACGATTTGGGGATAAACTAGGAGTGTTTCTAGAGTGTGACTCACTGTTGATGCTTATGTAAAATGCTTTTTTTCTTTTAACCCGTTTTTTTTCTGCACGATATTTTATTATTTTACGATCAGATTTTATTCAATAACTCGCTGCAAGGACTCGCTTCGCAGGGTTTTCATTTGTGGGCAAAAAGTAACGATAGTGAAGATTAANTCCGTCGCAAATTTTTTCTTTAAACTTTAATACTTACAATAATCTCTTTTGCTAGTTTAATCAATGAATTATTTTCCAACTTATGAATCGACTTTGCTATACGTTTCAGTGATTCTGGCATTCCAATTGTCAGGGCACAGTATTTGCCTCGAACCTGTTTCTTTCCTTCATCGGTAATCTCTTTTTTATTTTGAGGAATTTCTATGTCCAAACACTGGTCATAATCTCCCGATATCCATAGTGTTACTCCTAACATTCCTGCCGGTAATTTTCCAAAAGAATCAATCACTGGAAATAGTAAATGCATACAATTAATTAAAGTTATCTTTATGTATATCATGTTTTCAAAAAACAAATCGAAACAGAAAACAATTATATCTTTTTGTGGAGATTCACAGTACGGAAAACCTTCGATACATGCGGTTAATCTCTGCCCGAGAAATAGCGCATACGCGAAATACCTAATGTGGTGCTAAAAATCAACCGGAAATAAATGAATTTTTTAACGTGTCTGAAACATTTGTACATTTAAATTCGACTGGAAAGAACGGAAATTTGACCCAAAAAAAAAGAAAATGTTGACTACCAAAGATTTAAGACAAAGTACATCGTTAATGACGTTAAAGATTGACAAGTGTTGTTTCAAATAACAACTGCAAGAAAGTTCATAACTTTTCCTGTCGTTATGAGATTTTATTCTAAAAGCGTTTTATATTGTTAATTATTATAAAATAGCAAAACGCTTAAATTTGAGGAAAGACATAAATTTCATAAAAGATTTTAAATGCTAATAACGAGTTAAATTATTAAGTCCGATCCATCTCAATGTATGAGACGTGACCGCCTGTCTGTCAGTATCAACCGATAGCAATCAGATTACTACTATATAAGACTACTATATACACATACTATATACTATATACACATACTAATCCAGGTTCACTAACACTATACCCGTTTATTGTTGAACATTTTTACATACGTCAACACACGCACTCATTCATACATGTTTTTGAGTTCAGCAAGTCTCAAGACGTGAAGATTTGAAAAACAACACGAAAGATGAAATTTGACAGCATTTCAAAACTTTTCCTTATTTTGTACACATACGACCGATATAGTACAGCAACAAACTAGAAAATTTTATAAACGTCGTAAAATATTTATTTAGCGTGACCCTCACTGTCGCTGCCTCTACAGTTTTCAGTAAAAGTTAGAATTAATCAAACTACACTAAATGTGAATATAAACATACTAAATAAGATTACTGCGCGGAAACACTAAGTTTCACATTCACTCGTAACTAACGTTGAAAATGAGTAAACAGAGGTTATTAATTTATAATTGCCGTGTGGAAAGGATAACGTTCAACCTACCTGCAAACGATGCGCATTAACGGAATCGGCATTGATCGAAACCGCATATATCGAGGGTCAAGGTTATTGTAAATCAAACGGTTCGATAAAATTAGTGTAGTAAGTGTATGGAATACCTAAATAATGTGGATTTGTTCAGAATGTATACGGCGCGAAAATTATTAATGTGAAGTCCCAAAAAACGGGGTTTAATTAAACATTTATATTAGAAATTTATTAAACAAAACTAGAGAAGGAAAAGAACCTTCATTGATAAAAACCGATCAAAGATACAATTCAGTTGTCACATGATACCGAGACGAGGAAAAAAATACTATTAATGTAAGACGTGACGAAATAAATGTAAACGGGTGTCCTCCAGTAGAAAGGGAACTTTATCATGTCGCTCGTATACAAACAATTAGAACATAAAAAGTTTTGGACAAGGGAAATGGTTAATAAAAAAGCTAAACATCAGTTCAAATCGTTAGAATTTTAAGACGTAATAGACTAGATAACAATGGAGTAAAATGAGCGCAAGTTAAAAGTCCCATCTACCCCTTCCATCCAAAGTTAACGGATAGTGTCGGGTAAATTCTCCCATGCGAATCTTCTCGGGACCCGAACAGGTCTAGCATTTCGCTTAGGTACAAACGTGGAGCCAATCAAGATACACACAAAGGGGAGAACGGAAATCGATGTAATCCCCGATCTTCAAAGATACGAGGCACTCGGCAAGACGAACTCTGCGAGTCAACACAAAGGAGTGAAAATCAGAAGGCTGTCAACACACTGGGGACGAATCTTTCCTATTGTAAATCTAATTTTATGCTAAAATAAACGGATTTTTGTAAGATACTTGTCATCTCTGTCTCCTCCTCCACACCCACACGCGAACAACCCTAGGTTATTCTGACGCAGGATGGTTAATCCTGCGTCAGAATAATCTAGTCGTTCGCGAAAAGTCGGAAAACTTACATTGGTGAGAGAAGTAGAATTTTAAGTCCCCAATCTCCGTCAACTCAGTGAACTCACATTAAGAGTTAATAAAAAAATAGACATAATCATTTCATTTTAAAGCTATATAAACGAGGGCCACTATATATTAAAGTAATTAATTTCTATACAACGAAGAAATGAATTGCACGCTTTGGGGATAGACTAGGAGTGTTTCTAGAGTGTGACTCACTGTTGATGCTTATGTAAAATGCTTTTTTTCTTTTAACCCGTTTTTTTTCTGCACGATATTTTATTATTTTACGATCAGATTTTATTCAATAACTCGCTGCAAGGACTCGCTTCGCAGGGTTTTCATTTGTGGGCAAAAAGTAACGATAGTGAAGATTAAGATAATTACATTATAGCCAATTTTACCCTTTTTCACAGAATGCAAGAATTAGGTCTCCAGACTAATTAGAGAATTTTTACGTCTAGTCAAACGAACTATTTTCAATTTGGTCAATTTTCTTGAACGTTTACAATCGTTCTATAATCGAACAAATTCAAATTCGAAAATTTTTAAAATCGAAATAGAAAATCATACACTTTCAACCACTTTCAAGCCCATATCTCCCGCACCCTTATAGCTATCGAGACGCAACCACCATAGTGCACGAATGGAGACTTGGGGCTGCTACCACATACAAACACCATTTATGTGCGATGTGTATTTTTTGCTGAAAAGTGAAATATAGGAATATATATAGATATAGATTTGCATAATAATAGAGAAAAATTTTAATTAAACTTCCAAAAATTAAATTTTCTTATAAATTTGTTTAAAAATATGAGTTGATATTTTTACCTGCCGGACATTAAAACTGTAGGAGGCACCAACTGTTACGATATTTTTAAACTGACAAACTTTTAATATAAATTATTATAAAATGGCAAAAAGCTGAATTTTGAAGATAATTAGGAATTTTAGAAAAAACTGCTAATAACGTGTTAAATCTGGTTTAAGTCCCACATTTCTCGAGATATGAGACGTGATTACTTTCATATTCTATCCCTTGGATTTATAACCAATTAAAATTTATCATGAATCATGTTAATTAAATTAATAATAACACACAAACCTCCTTGTAAACACGTAAGATTAATTCTTTTTAAATAAGGATACAAACAAAAAGAAACAGGAATCTTATGCTTCATAATGAGTGAACAAATTCGTGCAACACACACACACACGCACACACATATCCATATCGTAATACAAAAGACGAAATAATTGCGACTACGAACTATCTGAGTTCGAGTATAACGAGGATTTCCTGTATACGAAAATCCTGTGTGTTTTCTTTGTCCATCTTTCTACATTTCATGGTTCTTTGTGTCCAAAAAATTAATTCTGGGTCATTTTGTGACAAATCGCCGTACTTTTCCTCTTTATTTATAACAGCCGGAGTGTAAAAAAGTAGATTGCACTCCTATCATTTTTCATAACATAAAGAAGCATTTAAATCACGCAATATTGTCGTAGTCCACATTGAAGATTAATAGTTTTTTAAAAACCAAACAAGCGATTAAGAGACAAACTGATATAATGTGACACAATAATTTCGAACATATTTTTTCTGGTACTTGTCACGTTGTCACTCACTCGAAACTAGTATCATTGTCCAAAACTGAACCTGCTTAAAACGGAAAACTTCTTCGAGACTTTCTGTTTTAAAATGAACCCGTTTAAACAGTAAACCTGCCAAATCGGAAAAAATATTCGAACCGTGAGACTTCGGTATACACGGATTTTACTGCAATATTCAGAAGTAAGAATTCAGGTGTTATTATGTGATTCATTGAGATATTTTAACATGATTTGATTTTTTATATACTATACTATATTTACTTTACTAAAAACTGTTATGTATTATTGATGTACATTTAATTATTGTGTGAGAGCTCGGACTGGATAGAAATTTTATTTAATAAAAATAAAATATATAAATTTATTAAAGAACTAACTGTTACCCGCAACTTCGTCCGCGGAGGTTATGCAAGCAAACCCCATTTACATTCAATATTTCAATAACCATAGTAATTGTCATATAACACCTACCGCTGAAGAGAACTGCCGAGAATCAAACGAACTATCTTCAATTTGATCAATTTTCTGGAACGTTTACAATCGTTCTATAATCGAACCGATACGCAATAACAAATTCGAATTTAAAACGGATCAAATATTTTTAAAATCGAAATGTCTGAAATGTTATCAATTTAATATACCTAAGTACTCAATGAAGACTAAACGTAGTTGTAAACAAAAAATCGCAATCTAAAATAGTACAGTAAAAGCCGTTTTTCCGATTAAGCCTTAATCCTCTCCCTCTCCACCCTGTGGGGGAATTTCGAAAAATCTCTTCTTAGTGTGCGTTTCCATGACGTACCCTAACTGTTTACCAAATTTCACATCTCTAGGTTAAGCGGTTTGCTCTGGGCGATGATGAATCAGTCAGTCAGTCAGTCAGTCAGAACAACACAATAAAAAATCATTTTCCAACACTTTCATTTTCCAACACTTAATAAAAAATGAAAGAATGTAATTCCACTTTTTTTTCAAATTCTCTTCTTTTCAAATGTGACACATCTTCGGAATGTGTGTGTCACCATGAACTTTCGACTGAAATTCATCTAGTGGTCGAAAAACTTAACACTGCCTACATGGACCATCAAATTGAAGGGTAAGGACCCTCGAAATAAAAACATAGCATCGAGGACGACAATGAGATTTCGCCGATCCACCTCCATAAAAAAAAAAAATTGAGTTTGCTTACCCAACGGCAATCCCTTCCTCCTCTTCTGTTCGCAGGAGCTTAGCTGTTTTGTACCGGACGTTCGTACTATGCCAGGTAAGAACCTAATAGGCCCGACCCAACAAACTTGAATTTCTTCATCCGTTTATTGAGTAATCTACGATAGTCCGACTACAATTTCGACTCATCCATCAAGTTTGTCAAGGTATTTATCGTCGTGTGCAGAAATGTAAACTCTTTCTCTCTCTCACGGTTAACGTCCGATTTCGATTTTACTTTTTCCGCCGTATAGAAAATGCATTAAATATCTTACGCTATGTAAAGCCATATCAATTTAATACTCTATATACAAGCTATATAGGAAATGCTATGCGTTATCCTATGTATATCTATATCTAAATGTAAATAAATAAACAAGTGCCGACCTTCGGTCACAATTTTAAAAAAATGTCGTTAATAAATATTTTACATATTTAATGTATTAAATACAGTAATATATTATAAAAAATAAATTCGGTTTGTTTAATTTAATTAAATGAACTACTTTTAACCTGGTAAATATTAAAGTAAACGATTAGGCAGTAAAAATAAATCCTAATGAATTACGTATATTTTAACATATTGCATTTAGCTTACATATTTTAATTTTAAACCAAAAATTAATACATTTTTAGTTTAATTAAATATACAATTTTAATCAAGATATATTCTTAATATTACTTCTTTGCACCATTCTTTTATCTTTTAGACTCTATTCTTGGTTATAACATGATACAGTTATGCATTATGTTAAAACAGCCAGTATATAACGTAATTAACGCTGCCACTTTTCAACTTTCCCTTCACCAGTGTCATCACAAAAAAGGTAGAATTTCATGACTGCATTTTTGTCTGTCATAATAAAATTAAGTATTGATATCGTGAAAAATTTGTCCTTGACTTTTGTAAATCTCCACGATCTCAAACTCTCGAAGCCGATTTTTAAGAAACCTTCCTCCGCGTTATACAAGGAATACATGTGTATAGAAATCCTTAAGTTCTAATAATTTCATACAGTAAAGATTACTTACTTCGAAGAGGCCACTCTTTTAGTTTCATCAAGTTTTTCAGGAAGAGAACGGAAGACTTCGTGCAAGGTGAAGATACGTTCACTTCTTCGAAAATTCTCATCAGATAAGGAAGACTCGGCTTTAAGACAGACTTCAAAGCCGTTTTGATTCGCATCTCCGCATTTTCTAACATCATCGACGTTTGTTGGAAATCATCGACGTCGTAGGGATTTGTATTGTTGCATTTCCCGTAACACAAGAATATCGTCAAAAGTAAGAAGAAATTAAGTAATTTTTTGTACTGCATTTTCGGAGCGTTTTCTATCTCGATGAACAACTTGTAAGTCGCTTTGCAATTTACTCTCATCACAAAGTCTATCAAAGTGTATATTTTGGTTACAAAAAGCTGACTTTTCAATGACAACTGCTTTCCTGCAACTTGTTTAAAAATTATTTGTTCTCTGCACATCAAATTACCAAATGATTTTTGGATGTTTTAATTATTTCCGGTGTTGAAGTGACTCGATTATCGTTTAAATATTAAAAGAATAAGTATAAAGATTGATTTTAAAATTTCTAAAATATAATTGTTTATTTTAATATTCAAGGGCAAAGTGTTTGGCTGGCAAATGTAATGTGTCGAATTGCGTGACAAAAATTTGTAATTAAAGTACTTTCTACTCTGTATTATTTCAAAAGTTATTTGCGAAAAATAAATCACCGCACAATCGAATAATTTTCTTCAGTAGGCAGACATTTTACACTAAATGCGTAGTTTTCTCTTTTAGGCAGACATTTTACACTAAATGCGTATTTAAATTCCTCTTAGAGATTGTTTGTGCAGATAGTAAAATCTGCGTAAACATTACTTAAAAACTTCATTATCGATCAAATATGCATTTGGTTTAATAAATGAGTAAACATCGTGTGACCGGAGGGTCGACACCTCTTCGGTGTCCGATCACGACCGACACGACCGTGTCTCGCTCGGCACGAAGCGGCAGCAATTGTTTTGGGTTAGAAAGATTGTGACGCGAGCGGTCGCGTATGGCGCGATCGGATTCGAATGGAGGCGAGTGAGACAGCGTTGGATAGTAGGTTAACTAACAAAATACCCGTTTATTTTTCATACCAGATCTATAAGCTCGAATGTCGCGTTGTTATAAATTCATCGAATTTGGAGAGAGCGACTTGTATACGACTTAATCGTTCGAAAGTTTTTAGTGTGTTTTATACGCGAGAGTTCGGAACAGACTGGGAACAGATCGAAAAAAGTGTATCAAGAACCGGAGTAGATAAATTCCTTGAGTGACAGGCGTGACGCGGGCGAACCGAAAGAGATAGTAATCAGTTATCGACAGGAGATCGTATTCGGTGTTCCTATAGAGAGACACAGGGTTTTATATTCGGTCGTCGCCCGTTTCACCACGCAAAATTTCGACCGAATAAAAAGAGTTATAAAATTCATATTTGATGAACAATAACGTTTCCCGCCCAACACGCACACTAATTTTTTATATAAAATAACACCGAACTTTTCTTTTTTATTTCTCGATGCGTTAAAGACTGTCGAGTTCGTAAATATAAAAACCTTGACGAGGTCATTTTCTGATCCATGTTCATTCTTTTCCGTTGTCATATATAAACGCCGAAAAAGTTAAAAAATAATATTTTACTAAAAATGAATAAATAATATTAATTATATAAAAATAAATATTATAAAGAACTGCAGAAACGTAATAATGGAAGAAATAGCTCTACAAATAAGATTTTATTTATTGTTAAAATATCTGAGATTTTAAAATTCGATAATAATTTACGTAACAGGTTCCAAAGCGCATTATTAATTCAAAACAGGTGTTTGTAATTTACTTGTTTTTATCAAGGACTCTGTCTATGTGTCTACTATATGCCTGTTACAAATTTTATCGTCTTTTCCTTATTTACGTCAATAAATTAGTTTCTATTTTTGCAGCAGGTATACAGAGAGAAAGTATGGAATCGGTAGAAAATGACCCTCAAGATATATTCATTTTTGGACCTAGCATATGTTAATGTTGAGAAATGAAGGAAAAATAAATTAAATTAGTGTTTTCAATATGCATGAATATGAGAGGGACGATTTTGTTTATTTTTTTTAAAGATTTATAGCTCCTGTTCCTTTTTTACCGATAACTTCTAAAATGTGAGAGGGAGAATTGTGTATTAAGAGGATTAATTAACTTTTAAATGTGAAAGATATGGGGAAATATTCAAAGCCACTTATTATATCTTCAAGACATTTACTCGTTATTAGCTTTTGCAATTTTTTATAAAACTCGTTTTCACATTGAAAATTAAGATCTTGCCATTTTATAATAGTTGGAGATGAAATATCGTAACAGACGGCGCCAGACAAACTGTACATTTTTGTTGAATAAGTCACGCAAGTCGATGTAAAATTGATTTTATTATTACGAGTTAAAAAATTAATTTTTCGAAAGAGAAGAAAAACCGGAATTAATTTATCGACGATCTAAATGCTGAGGAGATCGCGAGGAAACGAACGAAATGGCAAGAAATATCTGGAGAAGATGTAGAGTGTCTCATTATATTAATACCTGCTTTCGACGCACAATATTGATGATGATGAGTACAACGATGAATTAGTTTTAATATTCTGTCATAAATTACGTTAACCATCGTTTAAAATAGAAGAAGAACTTATAAATTGAAATAGTAATTAGAAATTAAACGACTGGATGCCCTTGACTACTAAATGTTTACAAAATACACAAGTTTACTCCCTTCATCGAATTTTATCTTTCGTCAGAAGAAAATATGATAAATACAATAGCAAGAGTTTAATTCTATTCACAGTTGATTTATTTGTATACGTTTTAAAAACAAATTAGTTTTCATTTAGTTTAATTAATTTTAGTGAGCGTTTCGATAAAAATAATTTACTTCAAAAATATTTTTGTTTTAAATTTCACGTTATAATACGTTTTGTCTGAGAACTGATGGGTCTTTATTATCAACACTCGATATCCTACAACTACAGATTTAAAAACTCGCTGCGTCACACCTGTGCGTGTTCAACGTTAATTAAAAACGTAAATATTTAACATTGCAAGAACAATAACGTTATTTTTTGTATATCTGCCTTATAATCTTGGACCTCGTTTTTAATTTAAAAAATGCATAAATAGATGATAACTTTGACATAAACTTTGACGCTCTCGAACAGTTTCGGCAGTATACGAGGGGGGAAGGCAAAAGCCACCTTCCGAATGCTTTCGTGTGATTGCAGCGTGAAGAACTTAATTCAGAAACTATTCGGATAGTCGCGTGTGAAGCAATAAATCCCTTCCAAAACAAACTCGTTCGAAACGGAAACCTGCCGTTGCCTGGAACCGTGCAAGTCCAATTTACCGATGTTTAACTGTACAATACATATTTAATATGTTAAATACAATTATATATTTTAAGAATTAAACTTGATTTTTGTAATTAAACAAAGCAGGTTTAAGGTAGTTAATAAATAAGTTAATGATTTAGTAATGAAAATAAATTTAATAAGCTACTTGTGTTGTATAAGACAGCATTTACATTACATATTTTTTATTGGGATGCAATTCGAAAAAAATGGTACATGTATCTGTCGTCTGATTGACTGTCCGTCTTTAGTCTCGAGAACGGTGTTGGATAGATAAAATATGAGACCAGAGCCGATAACAGACTGTCTGCCGGCTCGGATTGACTATACAAGTACGTTCGATACTAACCGGAAGTGACGTTCTATAATTAAAAAATTTCTCCCAGAAATGTGTTAGATAGATGACAGGCATGAGTTTATTGTTAAAAATTAACCGACGAATGAATTTGCTAATAAAGAGACTACTTGCTAATGGAATTCTGTATTCTTATATGACATTGTTCTAAGTAAGATCAATAAGTAGAGATGTCTAAATAACACGCTTATAAACACTAAGGAAATAAGTACTACATAATTATAATAAACACTATTTTGTGTTTACTAATTATAGTGTTTATTATAATTATAATAAACACTGCAATTATAATAAATAAACACTATATTGAAATAAGTACTACATAATTATATATGAAAATAAAGAAGTATATATATATATATACATACCTGTTTTATCACACCGAGTGACAAATCTATTACACATTAAAATTCTTTATTTCTCTACTGTACCAAATTTTAAAAAAATTTTAAATGTGTTAGATTGGGCAGTCGGTTGATAAACCATTACGTAAGATATCCTTTGTAATTATAAATCAAATACTATAATATAATATAATAGAAGTAATAAAAGTAAGAAATAATCTTAATCTTTGCTGTTATTTTATTTCCGGGCAACGTTAGACTCGTTTGCTTGTTATAGAATAAGTAATCTTTATCATTAGAAGTGAAAATTTTTATTTCTGAATTAAATAATTTCAAATATAAATTATTTACAATTCTCTGAGATATAATATAAGGCATTAAGTTATAAAAATACTTCAAAGTTTTAATAAAATAATTGTTATTTGCAGAAAACGGTTTAAAATAAATAATGTGGAAATCTTGCCAAGATCAAAACGGGTTTGCAACACGCCAACGTCATAAACGAAACAGAAATTTTATGTAAATTGCGCAATTTATTTGTAGATATGAAGGAAAATTTAGTTTATCTTTCAGTCGATCTTTTTTATAAAGGAAAATAATTATTCGAATTCACGCGAATATTTAACTACGCACTTTCCTTATTTTAAACGTCTCGACTTGAATATTTAACCATTTAGTTAAAGCCGAATCGCATTCGACGATTCGAGAAGCTCCTCGCAAACGAATGCTTTTTGTAATTACAGTAGAACCTCGATTATCCGGACCTCTGTTATCCGGATTTTCGATTATCCGGATTGTTCAAAATAAACAAAAATTTTACGAATTTGCTGATTTGCACTTGGTGAATTTACGACACTGTTTATATATTGTACGTAGGGAATTCGATTCCGGTCCTTATTTCTAATCCCGGGATTTCGGGATTATACTTAGTCAATCCCGGGATCCCGGGATTATTTCGGTATTGGGGGTTAATAAAAAATAAGAAAATCTTACAGAAATCAACAAATCGAAATTTAGACAAAAATCAACATATTTTACAGTATACACCTAGCTAATTTAATCACTCTAACTAATCAGACTCAGAGTCAGACTAACCAGACTTAAAATCACTCAGTCTTCATGTTAAATTTATTCTTTTTTAAGCATCACTGAGATCTCTTTAAACTCACATAAATTGAAAAAACCTTTATGTAACAAACTATGCAAATAAACGTTGAAAATTAACAAAAATCTCTCTTAACATCGACTAAA